CAGACCCAACTGGGTCTGTTTGAATTCAAAACAACGTTACACCCAACTCTTTCAATATTTCTTTGGTCAGTTTGAACAGCGGTCTGGCGTGTATTTACTTTTTGATAAGACAGTCTGATGTTATGAATGAATGAATGATCTCTATTTACCTCCAGTAGCTTCGGAGAGTGACAAACGTTGGATGTTCTTTTAACACAACATACTTACAGAAATATGATAAAGAGAAAAAATGAAGTTTTACAAAGCCACATATTTACATGATTCTGGTGAGAATTAAGTCATTGTCTATAGATCGCTGTCTATAGATAAAGCAGTGATCGCAGGCTCCAGGAGCTTATGTCACGTGATACAGAACCTATGAATTCAGCCCAGGTGTCAAGGCTCATATTCTCTATAATAGAGGTTATTCCACCGAGGAATGTCACAATTGTGACTTCGTCATCTGCACAGTCTTCGATACACATGTACTGTTCCAAGCTTAATGTGTCAAACAGATGCTCATAAAGAATGTTTCTTGCATCAGCTAAAGCTGTACAATATACAAGTTGGTGTTTTATTATATCATTGCATTCTTCATTACACATTAAACACTGACCAGGTGTTATTGGTAGCATTCCTAGTTTCACAAGTGCATACACAGGTCTGGTTGGGATATTGTATAGTATACACATATTCCAAAGTCTATGTGGAGCCAGTTTACTGTGGATTCTATAGAATCTGTCCAATTCAGGGCGATCTTGCAGGCATGTATGCCAATGAGCAGTTTCATGCTCTGTTATCTTGGCCCGTATAGTTTTGTTCCACGCCTCCTTGGATGGAAACTGGTTAGTTTTCATAAAGAGATCAATTGCATTCCATAATTCATATTTCTTGGCTACATTGAGAAGATCGTGTGTTACACACTCACATTTGTAACCGGCTGCTATATACTGAGCACACTTGAAATAGAATATCTTTTTAAAGGCATATCTGTGGTTGCTTCGGCATAACCTTCCAAGGAACATCAGCTTCAATTTGTCGATAGTAGCTGTCATAGTCCACAGTCCTAAAGTTTGAATAGTTGCAGCGGTCGGAGATCTCTGATGAAAACTTTGCATGGTACCGTACCATTTACCTTCAAGGTGAATCTATTTGGGATGACGATCATCACTGAGAATTTCACGAGGTAAATGTATAAGACAGCACAATCATAAAAATGGCTTCTGTCGTTATTGTTTCCACCAACCGGACATTGTGCAGGGCACGTGTACTGAAGCATTATATTATTTAATGATGGGAGATGGGTAGCCAGTGCAGAGTTGCACCCCTTTGATGTTCCAGAACCCTAAGAACCCGATTCGTTCTTATAATGTTTCTATGTCACCAGTAAAAGAACGTGCTTTCACTGAAGAGATGAAGAACTGTTCCCACCTGTCTTCCCACATTAAGTTGATACGCCGCCATTTAGAAGTTTTAGTTATATATACAAGGGGATGTTTGCTGGCAGTTCCCATGACCTATAATTCCTATAGGGGATATCATAACTGTATATTGCAACAAACAAGCCTTGTATTCATTAGGATGCAGTGTGTCTAGTGGGCGGTTTTGTTAATGTATTCTCCTTGTTCGTTCTAGTTGCATTATAAACTGTAAACTAGATCTATGCAATTACAATCTGTAAAACTATTCTAGATCCCCTGGCAATCAGCATTACCCTTGCTGTAGAAGCCTGTCACACTGTCGACCCTTCCTGGGTTAGAAGAAGAAGTTGGCAGATTTACAAGACCGGCTTCACCCTTAAAACGAGCTTGTAAATATTTAAAGACCAATTTGTTGAAGTTCAACGACGTTTTTAGCACGCTATAATCTCATTGTGGTGATCCGTATTTGAAGTTTATTTTTATTTCACGCAAAGCGAAAGTCCTTAACGTGTTGGTGTGTGACACTCCTAAAGTGAGAATCATTATAATGTATTGTGAGGTTGTGTCCTAGTGAATGTGTGTGACTGTGTTTATGCTGTGCTGTATGCTGGGTTTGGGGGTTTGGGACGGGGCAGTACTTGAGGTCAAGTATGTTTGTAATGATATCTGTTACCAGATTTTAGCAAGTCGCATGTTTTGTTTACTTATATATACTGTACTGTATTGGGTGTATGTTTTATATTTTAGTGTTTCATGGGTCACAGTGGTCTCGCATTGTACACGAACGAACCAGTTTGTATAAATTATGATTGACCATTGGGTAACGCGCTAAATATATAATTATGTCCCCAATCATCCCCACCAGCTGCCGTCAACCTTGCCCCTGCTTGTTGCTGTGGGATATTATACCCCAATTCATAATGGAGGTAGCACATGACTAACGTATTGATAAGCGAATGTGTGTGTGCGTACGTATGTGTGTGTGCGTGCGAGTGTGAACCATGGTTGTAGTTGATTGTTATGCGACATTGGTTGTAGAATTAGGAGAAATCAACGTTTAGTAGTGACGAGGTGACAGTAGATATTAAAGTTTAACAGCAGGTAATGTCGGTATGATGGACACAGATAACACCATGTCCCCTTGTTTGACACACAAACAGTGTTTCTTTGTTCTGAAGTAGGGAAGATGGCTATACTAGGCTTTGGTATAACGATCAGTGTGACGGCTATTTTAACATTATAGCTTCTAAATCGATAAAGACCTACTTGAAATGTCTAGGGTTGTTGAACATAAATATCTCTAGACTGTTTTGAAATGTACATAATCTTAACATTGCATTGTGTTCAAGCAAATTAGCATAGATAGTTTACCTAACCAAATTCCGGTAACTATATTATTCTGCAACAAAATATATTTTTCAGTTATCCATGTTGACAATGAGCACACATAGAGTTGCACCGACGGCAATTTATGTATGCGGTGTGTTAACCATATATATTGGAGGCGTGGAAATAGGTTCAGGTATATTATATGTCTGTGGTGTTATCTTGGTCATGTTTGAGGGTCATTGTAAGTGCTTTCTGATATTGAGGTTTATGTTTATATGTTACCATGTTTTCGTTTACCACGGTTTCAAAGCCTCTGGCAAAGCGCGTATTCTAACACTGATAACGTGAACCATGTAACTTGTTTAATGTAAGATATGTGCAGTACCTTAAGGTAGTGGCCTCAACACCCTTCACTGTCTGATTTGTTGGTTATAATCCTTTTTGGTGTGTGAATGCAGTAACTCTGGCGGCTTAACACACCACACCTTCCCGTGTGCAGCATGTATATCTCACTACATGTGCGCCAGGACATGATGCCTTCAGCAACTGATTTTGAGGATATTTGAAAAGGTTCACGGAGAAACATACCTTCACATTCCTCGCGCAACACCGCCGATGCCATGTCGGACTGATAATAAATATTACTATTTATCGGGCAAAAGAAAGTTATCACTTTTAAATTGTATAAAAAACCAAAACGCTGGAACAGGTTTGAACCCAAGCAGAAAATACTGGTCCCGATAACAACGCAACATGATCCCAACAACAACGCAGCTGTCCGAAAACTTCGTACGAATCGTGCATGATTTTCCATGTTGGACAGAGCAAGCATGCAGTAACCAAAAAACCTCCTTTATATGCCAAGATTTACGCAAGCGCAACGAGATAGGGCGATCGTTATGTCCAATATGGGGACTTCACATCATCAGCTTGCAGGAACCCTCAACTGCAGCCAGGCCACCATCAGCAAATTGATAAACCGCCAACAGCAAACAGGCCAGACTCAAGACCGCCCAAGATTGGGAAGACCAAGAATCACGACACCGGCCAAAGGCCGCTACATCCGACAGATGCACATCCGGAACAGACGCATGACGGCGACGTCAACGGCAGCGACAGCATTAGCATATACCTTTACCGTAAACACAGACTGCAATGGGCACGAACTGCACGTCGGTGTCAGCAACGTGACTGGGAGATAGTGCTCTTTACAGATAAAAGTCTGTTCAGTCGGTCCAGAAAGGATGGCAGAGTTCAAATTTTCAACGTAGAGGAGAGCTATTGGCGCCACACTGCGTTCAAGAAGTTCATCCGTTCGATGGAGGAGGCGTCATGGTATGGTGCTGCATTTGTGGCCAGGGAACAAGACTGGTTATCATCCGAGGACATCAGAATGTCCAGCGGTACAGGGATGAAGTGTTGAGGCCTTTTGCGGTGCCCTTTATCCGACGACAACCAAAACGTCATCAACGTTAACGTCACCGTATTGCCTTGACCAGCGAGTTCTCCCGACGTGAACGCCATTGAACATCTCTGAGATCATCTTGATCGTCACCTGAAACAGCGTGTATCACCTTCAGCAAACCGACAGGAACTTGATCAGGCTCTCTTGGACTTATGGAACGGGATTCCTGCTGACGTCACCTAGTAGACGTGTGTTGGCGTGTATGAATGCCTTGGGTGGTCACACCCGCTATTGATCATGTGTTCCCAGACTCCTGTCTCATTATGCGACTCTTTAGGCACTTTCTGATGTACCGTGACTTGTGTACTATTTAATTTTGATCCCTTGACTCTTTCTTATTAGCGTTAAATATTTCTGTTGTAAAATAAATATCATTAATCCCATATACGTCTTTGTCTCTATTTTTTGGCAAATATAAAGTCGGTGATAACTTTCGTTTGCCCGGGACTCGTGAAGGTCCGGGTTAGAATGAGCCTTCGGTAACCCATGCGTGTCGTAAGAGGCGACTAACGGGATCGGGTGGTCAGGCTCGCTGAATTGGTTGACACATGTCATCGGTTCCCAGTTAAGCAGATCGATGCTCATGCTGTTGATTACTGGATTGTCTGGTCCAGACTCGATTATTTACAGACTGCCGCCATATAGCTGGAAGTGCGGTGTAAAACTAAACTCACTCACTCACTCGTTTGCCCGGTGGTTTATGTATGTTTAAATGGCATGTACCTATACCCGTCATCCACACCGATGACGGAATTAGCCTTCTACTACTGTGATCACTCATATACGTTATGTACCTTCATCTGCAGGAGGAACCAGCTGAACGAGCGCAATGGGGGCGACAGCTAGAATTCATCTTTACTTTGATTGGGTACGCTGTAGGCCTTGGCAACATATGGCGATTCCCATATTTGTGTTATAAAAATGGAGGAGGTTCGTACTCTTGATAATTTATGTGGTACTTTGAAATTTATAGGTTTAAGTGTAGCTTAAGTAGTTATCATATTTTTCATGATGTAACCATTACTCACTTTAAGGAAAATAATGATTTTTATTTATCAAGCTGAACCGTTTATACAGGACTAAATTGATAAAAATACGTGAGTAATATATAAACGGCGATATTATGTTGGCTAAGTAATTTTATTATATTCCAAACTCATTATTAGGATAGATTTTTATGGCTTGCATTTTGTATTGATTTCAGGAGCCTTCCTTATCCCCTACATAATATGTCTGATTTTCATCGGCATTCCTATCTTCGGTCTGGAGGTTGCCTTCGGACAGTTTGGTGGGAAAGGACCAATAAGCATTTGGTATATAAACCCAGCCATGAAAGGTCAGAACAAGGAGAAATGCTACAAATGGTTGTTAATATATGTATTCATTTATACAACACATAAAAAGCACAGTCATTCTAAATACACTCAAATAATTTATGCGTGGGAAAACTTACATATCAAGGATCAGGTCACTGTTTTTTTTGTCAAAACACAGCCATCGAATGTGCGAAGGTTTAAATATCAAAGAATACCATTGAAAATATATTAAAAGTCAAACTGAATGTAAACATGTTTAATTTTAATTGATTATGAGACTTCAAAGTTTGTTAATATATCAGATATTACACAGACATTTTTTAATGTCAGTTATATTTGTTAATGTAAGCTATATTTGTTAATGTCAGTTATATTTGTTAATATCAGTTAGATTTGTTGATGTCAGTTATATGTGTTGATGTCAGTTATATGTGTTGATGTCAGTTATATGTGTTGATGTCAGTTATACGTGTTGATGTCAGTTATATGTGTTGATGTCAGTTATATGTGTTGATGTCAGTTAGATTTGTTGATGTCAGTTATATGTGTTGATGTCCAGGTATTGGTTATGCTGGAGTGTTGGTGTCGGTGGTCATCAGCATCTACTACGACGTCATCATTGCCTGGGGGCTTTACTATTTCTTTGCCTCCATGACGGATGAGGTGCCTTGGTCTAAGTGTTCGCAGTGCGAATGCCTTAATTTCGGGAAGAATGTCACACCAGGTTATGACAACGCCACCGGAATAAACTGCAGTAAGTAATGCTAGCTTTAACATCTACCCTGGGCGGTGGGGTAGCCTAGTGGTTAAAGCGTTCGCTAGTCACGTCTGGGACCCGGGTTCGATTCCCGACATGGGTACAATGTGTGAAACCCATTTCTGCCAGGATATATGGCTGGAATATTGCTAAAAGCGGCGTAAAACCAAACTCACTCACTCACTTAACATCTCCCAAACCTATCTCCGCATATTTTCATGCAAGGTACATTACGTACTTGGTGTATTTTGCAAGATCTCTTTACAAGATCCAGCCATACATGTACGAGGATGGAAATGGGGCTGATATACTCGATCAGTGTAGTTTGGGATGTTGTGGGCCCTGTGTGACGTGTTTGATACATGTCACTGTATCCCAAATGCGTAAAGCGATGATGTCAATCACTGGATTATCTGGTCCGGAATCTATATCTACAGACCGTAGTCATAAACAACAGTGCGGCGATAAACATCAAACCAGACAGACCTAGTCTGTCATACAGACCCTGGAGCAAATATATCCAAGAAAACCCACGCAAGTTTATAAAATGTGGCAAGTCTAGATTTCAGAGTCTCAGGGCTCCTTTTTCATTATATATATATATGTGTGTGTGTGTGTGTGTGTGTGTGTGTGTGTGTGTGTGTGTGTGTGTGTGTGTGTGTGTGTGTGTGTGTGTGTGTGTGTGTGTGTGTGTTTGTTTTACTAAGAGGTTTTTTCTGTAAAATATGTTCATTTCAGAGACTAGTTGTTAGTCTAAGACAGACATTAAGCATAGAATAGTCTACACGTTAGGAGGAACAATAGATTATCTATTCCGAGTGAATTAATTTTGACAATCCGTTGCCTTTGCAAGAGAATTTCAACATTATTTCTCGAGGGACAAATAATCACACCCGAGTTACTGTTATTTTGTATATTGTGTAAGCCTTTCCTCCGTGAAAGTTGAAACAAAAGGCGACATCAGGCCCTGAACATAACATTGTATGTGGCAATATAACAACAGCGATGTCATCGTCAATTATATTGTATAGATAATGATACATGTTGTAAATGAAACCGACAAAACCCTCACGTCTACACGAAATCTCCGCTAAAGGCAGAGTCGACAGTACAATTCCGACTATATGATGACCATGTGTTTATGAATGACTATCAAGGTGAGTGTATCCTGCCCCCGCGGTTGCCAGCCACGATAAACAAATGCTGAGACTAGTCAACTGTTCACCTGAAACACAGTATGCTACACGACATATGTTAGGGATGATGTCCTCACCATGTGTATCATAAAAGTATTAATGACTAAAATAACTTTATGATCCCGTTGCCCATATGGACATCATTAGTTTTATTAGTAGTACTAATACTGAAATAATTATTATTCTGGTATTGTTTTAGTTTTGGTATTAGTTACATCTTTGTTACTTTTAGTATCTTACAATTTATATTTCAGAATAGCACGCGATGGCCTGCCGATTGTATCAAAATGCTATTTTCAAGATTCAGTTTGAAATGTTGATATAGATCTATGTCGTTGTTGAAGAATATTTATAGCTGATGTTATTGTGTTTCAGCTGGATGGACAGGAGATCCAAAATCGTCCAGCGAAATCTATTACAAGTAAGCTATATTTTCATACGAATACTTCGTAGGTGTTGCAAGTTGTGATGCTGTAAATAGTGCTCCGTGCACGTGTTTACACGTGTACAGAGTGCGGTGTGGAGACGCCACAAGCACTTCTCTTTCTCTGAACGTGATATATTCCAAGTTAAAACAATGAATTAACCAAAACTGGCCGTAAATAATTCGGAGTGAAACCAGCGAACAAAATATTATATTACGATTAACACGTGTATAAATAAAGTCAATACAAATTACAGAAAGGGCTTTTAAAATGGTACAAAATGGAGTGGCAGTATAAACTAGTGGCAAGATATGGCAGATACATTGTAACACAATAGTATAGTTGCTCGGACACAAGCTCTGGAGAGGTTAGGAACCTGATACAACAATGCTACTAAAATGTAAATGTTTACCCATACTTTTGTTTGTTCTAAATTTATTTTGACCCCCCATTCCCCCCTATCAAAATTACCATTTACAATTATATAACAATTTTCCATCCATAATTACCCTTGTTTTTAACCAAAAAAAACAAAGGGTGAAAGTCTGTGACAGGGGACTAGCAACAAGGCAAGGAAACCTACTAAAAACGAGGAACAGAATACTGAATTTCTTATGAGAAAGCATATTTTTATAAAATTGTTTGTGTGATTTATTTCGAGACGCTACACTCCTACAAACATATATCTTCTTCAGCAGAGAAAAATGTCACCTCTACGTGGATCTCGTTGTTATAATGGAAATTTTATTATAAATAATTCCTGTCATTTTTTTAAATCGGCATTTTCCTAATTTATGGCAGTAGAGTACAACGGGTAATACGTGAGATTTGGAATTCCTGTCTGAATTGCTCACATCGACATAACCAATAAGAAAAGGCGGTATAGTCCCCGAATCCTAACGGTCTAAGATCACACTTCCATCAGTGCATGTACACGGCATCAGTGAACGTCACATAAAATCCTATCATATATATAATTACATGCAATTACATATTTGCAGGGAGGTCGTGCTGCAACAAACGGCCAGTATAGCCGAGACGGGGGAGATCAACTGGCAGGTGATGTTGTGCAACCTTCTGGCTTGGCTCATCGTCTTGATTGTCTTAGCGAGAGGGATCAAATCGCTTGGAAAGGTATAACACTTATGGCAACATATTAAAATCGGCGTGAGCATGTTTATGGTACCTCGTGAACATGCAGAGAGAATAATTTTGCTTTTGGAATCACGTGTAAAGAATAATGAAACGTACATGTCCTTACGCCAAAAAAACCCATCTGACTCGGCATGTCCTCATTCCAGACACATCTATTTTCACTCTGCACTCGAGTACTTGTTGGGGTACAAACCAATACGCTGAACAGTTAAATCTATGTTTGTTTCTTATAACGTGTCCAAAACATGAGAACATGTTTCTTCTTGGTAGTTTCGGCTTTGGGAACTTTAAACGTGCTTAAACGTGGACTTTTTCGAGTTTTAAAGTATCTTCTAATACGAGGTTATTGTGTCAACGAAAAATATTCATTTGATATATTTCATTTTATAATGTATGGGTTTGATGCAATGTTTATTCTGTGTTCATGCAGTCCAAATTGTGTATATTATATGTTCAAGTATTTGCTTCTATGCTCTCGAGTTTTAGTCATGTACTTTATGTTGGTACATATTTCAGATTGTCCATTTAATTGTATATATTTTAGATCCATTTCATGTCATATATGTCGGGTTGTCGATTTCATGTGATGTATTTCAGGTAGTGTATTTCACTGCCACCTTCCCCTACATCCTCCTGACGGTCCTACTGATTCGAGGAGCGATGCTGGATGGAGCTATTGACGGAGTCACCTTCTACCTCACACCAAAATGGGACAGACTTGCGGATGCCACGGTAAGTCTTCAGGAAATGTTCATTCTGAATGTAGAGAGGGTGTGTATGAAAATATATTGGTCGTGTATTTTACAAATTTTAGATAAATGATACCTGGCAGTAACATATAAGCAATGTCGACACCTTACCAAATAGCAGTGTTCCCTTACTTGACGGGAGTATACGTTTACTGCTGACTACCTGCTCCCGTGCGGTGGGTGAGTATGGTTTTATCACCGTTTTTAGCAATATTCCAGCAATATCACGACGGGGGACACCAGAAACGGGCTTCACACATTGCACCCATATGAGGAATCGAACCAGGTCTTCGGCGTGAAGAGCGAACGCTTTAACCACTAGGCTAACACACACACACACACACACACACACACACACACACACACACACACACACACACACACACACACACACACAGAGAGACACACACACACACACACACACAGAGAGAGAGAGAGAGACACACACACACAGAGACACAGACAGACAGACACACACAGACACACACACACAGAGACATACACACACAGACACACAGAGACACACACACACACGCGTGGTGAACAAATATGACGAACTAACAATACATTCAAATGTTAAACGAAAATTAGGAAATCAACATCTTTAGACACGTATTGTCTATTGGATAGGGTACACATTCAACTTCAATTAAAAGACAAACTAAAGACAAAATAAGACAAAGTCTGTGGCACTAGGAATAACATACATGACATCCCAGTGATGGCACTTGGTAGAAATATAGGGTTTCTAGTACATGTTATACGGTAGAAACGGTATGTGACCCCAGGTAGAACTTATGGTTTCTGGTACACATCCCAAGGTGAGTGAGTTAAAATTTATCGTCACATCGGCAATATTTCAGCCATATCGTGATGAGAACAAATTTGACATTCACAACGAATATACAAGTCATGTATATTATATACACGTGTCGCCAAAGGACAGTGTTTATCAATCAAATCAATTTTTTTAAAAACACAAAATTTTATTAAATGAGAACTTAATATATTATTAAAAAGATCCCTCATAGTTGATGATTTAAAATAGTTATCCCTTGTGATGGTGTCTCCAGTATATGACTCTCGGTTGGAATATAGGTTCTGAGTATATGATTAGTTATAAAACACAATGAACATTCAACATTGATCCCACTTTAAGGTATGGAGCGACGCTGCTGTCCAGATCTTCTTCTCGCTAAGCGCCTGCCAAGGCGGCCTTGTAGCCATGTCAAGCTACAACAGATTCTCCAACAATGTTCTAAGGTATTTTTTTCCACATTTAGCCTCCAGTTTTATGTGTTAGAATGATATCAGGAGGGTCTGATTTCCCTGTTGGTTCTCTAAACGTGACCTCGATCATATTATACGTATATTCATTCTTAGCTTTTTCGATCACGAGCTTAAATTATTGACGTGTGCAAAATGTTCTTATACTCATTCTCTTGTACCAGCTTCCTGTTTTAAGTTACCTCATCTCCTGTGCCTAGGCCCTGAATAGTGCATTATGACCTGAGCTATTGATTCATGTGCGTTTGATCACATATGATACCCGTGAAGATCCGGGTTAGAATTAGTCTTCAGCAACCCATGCTTGTCGTAAGAGAGACTAACAGGATCGGGTGGTCAGGCCCGCTGACTTGGTTGACACATGTCACCGTTTCCCGATTGCGTAGATCGATGCTCATGGTGTTATTCACTGGATTATCTGGTCCAGACTCGATTATTTAGAGACCGCCGCAATATAGCTGGAATATTGCTGAGTGCGGCGTTAAACAACCAACCAACCAACCAGACAATCATATATGATCCTTTTCAAGAAAAAACAAAACCTTTAATTATTGGCATAAATGTCCCCAAGAACTTTCTCTCCAGTTAATGTTTTTCTGTTATAATATTCCACATATTGTTCGAACACCACTGCTTCATACTGAGGTTTGTACTTCTGTTTATGCAGAGATTCCATAATGATTCCGGTGATAAACTGCCTGACGAGCTTCTATGCTGGGTTCGTGGTGTTCTCGACGCTAGGCTACATGGCCAACATACGGGGTGTGCCTGTGGCCAATGTCACGACTGGAGGTAGGAGGAACGCTGAAATACAGCTCAGTAACAAGGAGGCACTGTAGGCAATCCTGCCATAAATACCATTCCTCAGTAATAGGGTATAATTCAATAATGTGAACAGTTTGAAGTTAAAGTTCTTGTGGGATACAGGATGATACTCGGTTATCTGATGTAATTAGACTTATGTTATTCATGTTACATACATATGTGTGTGTGTGTGTGTGTGTGTTTGTTGTTTTGTTTTGTGTGTGTGTCTGTGTTTTCATGTTCGTGTGTGTGTCTGTGTGTGTCTGTGTGTCTTCGAAATATGCAATTCCCAGTAAGTAGCATTGAGTTTCTAGATCACGGATCTCAAATGAAAAGTTCAATTGGTTAAAAACAAGCCTGTTGTTCCCTTGTTTACCATAATCATTCTGTTGAACACCTTCAAGGTGTGATGTTTACTTGATTTCCATACTCATCCTGTTGAACACCTTCACGGTGTGATGTTTACTCGATTCCCATACTCATCCTGTTGAACATCTTCGTCGTGTGATGTTTACTTGATTCCCATACTCATTTATTGAACACCTTCACGGTGTGATGTTTACTTGATTCCCATACTCATCCTGTTGAACACCTTCGTCGTGTGATGTTTACTTGATTCCCATACTCATTCTGTTGAACACCTTCACCATGTGATGTTTACTTGATTCCCATACTCATCCTGTTGAACACCTTCACAGTGTGATGTTTACTTGATTCCCATACTCATCCTGTTGAACACCTTCACCATGTGATGTTTACTTGATTTCCATACTCATCCTGTTGAACACCTTCACGGGGTGATGGTTACTTGATTCCCATATTCATCTATTGAACACCTTCACGGTGTGATGTTTACTTGATTCCCATACTCATCCTGTTGAACACCTTCACCGTGTGATATTTACTTGATTCCCATACTCATCCTGTTGAACACCTTCACCGTGTGATGTTTACTTGATTCCCATACTCATCCTGTTGAACACCTTCACCGTGTGATGTTTACTTGATTCCCATACTCATCCTGTTGAACACCTTCACCATGTGATGTTTACTTGATTCCCATACTCATCCTGTTGAACACCTTCACAGTGTGATGTTTACTTGATTCCCATACTCATCCTGTTGAACACCTTCACCATGTGATGTTTACTTGATTTCCATACTCATCCTGTTGAACACCTTCACGGGGTGATGGTTACTTGATTCCCATATTCATCTATTGAACACCTTCACGGTGTGATGTTTACTTGATTCCCATACTCATCCTGTTGAACACCTTCACCGTGTGATATTTACTTGATTCCCATACTCATCCTGTTGAACACCTTCACCGTGTGATGTTTACTTGATTCCCATACTCATCCTGTTGAACACCTTCACGATGTGATGTTTACTTGATTCCCATACTCATCCTGTTGAACACCTTCACCTTGTGATGTTTACTTGATTCCCATACTCATCCTGTTGAACACCTTGACGCTGTGATGTTTACTTGATTCCCATACTCATCCTGTTGAACACCTTCACGGTGTGATGTTTACTCGATTCCCATACTCATCCTGTTGAACACCTTCACCTTGTGATGTTCACTTGATTCCCATACTCATCCTGTTGAACACCTTCACCATGTGATGTTTACTCGATTCCCATACTCATCCTGTTGAACACCTTCACGGTGTGATGTTTACTTGATTTCCATACTCATCCTGTTGAACACCTTCAAGGTGTGATGTTTACTTGATTCCCATACTCATCCTGTTGAACACCTTCACGATGTGATGTTTACTCGATTCCCATACTCATCTTTACGGGTTTAATATGCCTACAGAAACAATATTTCAACTCTGAAAAGTACGCAAATATTACCTAAGTTGAATTGAAATAATTAAGACAAAATATACTTACCGCAGTGGATCTAACTGAGAATGATTGCGTCTTGGCCCATAAATAGAAACACTGAAAAGGAGACAATATGGCTCAGTAGGGCTCGGATACCTGAAAGTCTCACGTATAAACATAATACTTCTATCCTTGACAACGTCAGTTCCTGAGTAATGGGATATTAGTGCATTTTAACTGGGGATTACGTCGTTAACGACACAACAAATAGTCTGACTGCACCGATATCCAATTAGGTGCTAGACCATCTATTTTGGCGTTTCGACTGAAATGTGAACACGATGTTATTGCGAACAATAATAGGTTACTGAAAATAAGTCTTCAAGAAAACAGTTTGGCTAGTCCTATAAATGGCCTGTATTTTGGGCGATCTAAAAACCAAAAATGTAAGTAGATGAAAACAAAAGAAAATGTTAAACTTGAAAATCAAATTACCTCACACATGTAGATGCTTTTTACAAAATACCGTTTTCTTCTAGGAGCAGATTCTACTTTATTCGTTTGTTTATTTAAATGAGATATGTGTATAAATGAGAATTAGAAACTGTTGTACGCGTAATATTCTCCAGTTAAGCATTGCATTTTCAGAACCACACTGTAGGTGCATTGCATTACATTGCATCGAATTTTTGTATTATATAATGGTTGGTGTTAGGATGTGTCTTGGTGTATTTCAGGAACCGGCTTGGCTTTCATTGCCTATCCCGAGGCTCTGTCCAACATGCCCATCACCCCCTTATGGTCCATACTGTTCTTCCTCATGCTGTGCACCCTCGGTTTCAGTTCGCAAGTGAGTTATACCAGTCCATCCCGACGCTTATTGCACTGGGTTTTGACATTACTGCATTTTACTGTACACTGCACGTTCCAATTGCTTGTGTGGCACACGTGTTCTCCCTGATTAGGAGGAGTGTGTGTGGGGGGGGCGGCAGGAATGCAAACAGAACCAACTCTTTCTTGAAGACGAGATTGGTCTGAGAATGTTCTAGGATTTTGTTTTTAAAATATGCAATGTTCAAGTTGTTGTTTTCGCCGAGGGAAGAACATGTAAACTATTTCGGTCGGATGACGTTCTAAACTTCACTCCTTTCGATTCATTTTAACAATATTTACAAATGTGATCATATCACATGTTCAAACCTAGCGGCTTTAGGTCTCTATATTAATACCAACATTTCAAAGGTATCCGTAACTCATACTATTATATTTCGACAGGGCTTAACATTTCATTTCTCTACTTCGTAACCTCAAAATGACTTCTAAATTATCAGCAATATCATCTCAAATTTAACAATGCATAATTCGACCTTCGGCGTAGTTGTAAATTTTACTTCGACTATATAACTGATCCTGAAACCTTTTATCTCATAAAAACAAAAATAGTGTATGTGTTTCTATATAATGCCATTGGATTTATGCCAAGATTGGATTTGGGACTTATAAGTTATCAAGCTTACTTTCCTTTCAGTTTTCAATCGTTGAGACCATCATGACAGCCATGATCGATGAGTTCCCACAATATATAAGCACAACGAAGAGAAAACTGCTATTCCGATCCTGTGTCTGTTTGGGAGCATTCTTACTGGGCTTGCCAATCGTCACACAGGTAGGAGACAATGAAGGCTTGAGTATACATGTATCCCTTGTGGGGCATATCTTCAGATACATGTCTGCATATTGCATTCACCTGTTGTATCATCACCAGTTCCGTAACCTTTGTTCATGATGCATCTGAAGATGCCTGATATGAGATACCTGCTTTGAGAAAAAGATGTACACAATTTAGGATACAGTCGAACCACAATGTCTCGAACGTGGTTGAGACGAATTCTCGGTTGTGTCGAACTCATCCCACGGTCCCTTATATTTATCATTATTTTTACCCTGATGTCTCTAACTAGATGTGTCGAATTCCCGGTTGTGTCGAACTCATTTTAGGGTCCCCAAAGGCCCTAATTGGTACAAATTTACCCTTTTGTCTCGAACTGTCAAAAGTGGTTCTTGTAACTGAAAACTTCATGCTCATAAACGTTTTACAAAAGATCAAAGGTGACGATTAACAGATTCAACAATCGTGTTGGTACTTGGTTATTTCTCTGCTTACGGATGTGTCGAACACTCGGATAAGTCGAAGTTATGGTCATGTGATTTGCCTCTTTCCTAAGTCAACTACAACATTTATAAACCGACGCCCGAAATTAATTTCCAAACTACCTATTTGCCAGTTAAGCCTGTTAAGATAAGCAACCAGGTCTGAGCAAATACAGGTTGCCATCTCCGAATGTCGACCGGAATCGGGCGACTCGTACAGTATTTGTTGACAAGGGACAGACATATCTCCGTGTGGCGAGATGGTGCTTCTGTTTTCTCTAAAACCTCGAACATCGTGAAAACCAATTCCGATCAACGTATTATGGTACCATGTGCAATATATACAGTATATACATGTAGATAGTCCCATCAGTAATCACCCGGAAGGCCGGTTTTCCGCTATGTGCAAGGTAGCATATTCGTGTGATTTCGTTTTGATAACATAATATGAAATATGCATGAAACTGAAAAAGACACTTTCTCTACTTCTGTGATGAACTTTACACCAACAACTGATGACGTCTGTCCAATTTTGACGATGTCATTCCATCTTTCCGATTGGCTGCAAAGTATGTTTTTAAGAATTGTAAAGTTGCATCATATAGCCATCATGTGTAATATACTAAACGTTGGATCCTATTCATCTGTCTGGTAGAGAAGAACCTTTCTGTATCAGTATACAAAGCGTTGTATCTCCTATGAGCGTCCTGATTGGAATGCATCTGTTTAGTTGTATAGTAGATAATGTCTGTTTAATTGTAGAAAGGATCCTATCTGTTTGATTTATGGACGGGTCCTATCTAATCATGTCCGTTTAATTGTAAAATGGATTTGTGTATTTATTCGCAAATCTAGGCCTGTTTAATGTTGAGATGGTTTTGTCTGTTTCAAATGTAGAGTGGGCCCTACCTCCTGGATCTCGTGGACTCCTATATCCTCGGCTTCCCGACTCTTTTCATTGCATTGTTCGAGTTGATTGCCATATCCTACATTTACGGTGAGTGCACTGCTTGTAAATTCCGGTTGTTGGTTTGAATTTAAATGTATTTATAAAACCTTTTGCCAATGTAAATAGATGAGGCGCTGTTTATCATTACTGAGCATGTGCACCGTTTATCATTACTGAGTAGCATGTGCACCGTTACTGGCTGACTTACATCCCAAGGCAATAAAGCAATATTTAGCAATCAATGTATTGCCCTTTTTCCAAAGATCGTAAAGATCAAATTACCATATACTTGAGCATAGCATATTTTCACTGTCTCTGTGTTAAACCTTGTTCGATATATTTTCACTAAACCAGTAAAAGTCCGTTGTATAGCGTTATGGAAAAAATGGATTGTCCGAGAATGTTTCAGCAATAAATGGATCACAGTGATTAAATTATATCTTCTTTCGACAGTAAAAGGATGATACGAAGGGAGAACAGCTTCAGGAGTCTCTTATTCTGCCCTACATCTGTTAATTCAGTTGTAGGATGATAGGCAACATTTGTCATCTTATTTTAGAGCTTTTACTCCCACGTAATTATAACCACCAAGAAAGTGTATTAAGTTCAACGTACTGGTTATTGTGTATTTTTCTGTCATTACGATTTTGCTTTGTACAATAATAATTACCAATTGTCACATATGAAACCAAATACTACATTTGACGTTTAAGTTAATGGTGGCGAAGAAATAAAACGTAAACAGTACTCCAAAAATATCTTGGTTATTACAATCATAAATAAATGGAGAAAAGCATTTCCATTGTCATAAGAAGTATAAACAGCAGATTTAGATTGTGCAGTTCCAAAAGCATCTTCTGTCTTTCTTTCTACAGGCCTGTAGTACAATACATTTACAAAATAATAATTACATGCACATGTAATACACATGAAGAAGAGAAAATAATCAAGGGTAGCTTACATTGTGTTCTGAGATATATTCTGTTCTAAACAACATGGCATAGTAAGCAAACATGTTTTGAAGTTTGTATGTTTTTGTTATGTAACGATGTTGAGAATTTATGACGGTTTGGATGGACAAAAGAGTATCTCTTAATATACAACCTTCTCGGGGAATTATACGCAGGGCAGGGCAAATCAAAAGAAAATGATATTCTTCTTCCATTTGGTTAAGATCACATATTCTTTTTTGACAATTTTAAATCTTCCACTTTCAATAAATAAATCATGTGAAGAACATCTCAGTCTACTTAACGCTATCCTATGTTTGTTTACGTTTACACATGAATGATAAATTTATGCGTCAAAAGTACAATTAAACATCTTATAATACAAACATTTGCTTAAAAGTGATATATAAACATACTGATCGTTCCACACAAAACCAAAACCCTTTGAGAATCGAAAATTTCTAAAAGAAGAAACCCAATTTGTCCATTTTTATCGAATTACATCATTATATTGTAACATTTCTTTGGTAGCCTATAAGAAGGCATCTTCAATAGTTTTAACCACTCTCTTATTTCTCTGATTTTTGTAAATATGCGCATCGGATATTTACCACACCATACACCATTATATCCATCGTATTGATTTAACACCAAGAAACCTTTTACATGCTTTCAATTGAACTCTTTCGATATCATTGTAATAATTCAAACCCCAGATTTCAGCTCCATACAATAAAACTGAACATGTATCATGAACATGCGTTTTAGAATCACTATCAAAAGTGATGATAGCAGGTGTAGCGTATCATCCTCCATCGATGACATCAGATATGCAGTTTTGCCACCGATGCGATCAGTTTGGAAATGTCATCTCATATTTCTGCCATAAAATGTTTGAAATATTTATTTGGGCCTCGGATGTTGTCACTTTGATCAAACGACTTTTAAGCAAAAGCCGATGACGATGTCAAAGAACGGGCGTGCTTGACTGTACCTCAAACGTTGTGAAAAGCAGACACCGAAGGATTATTGTTCGATCTAATCGTTTGTACATAAGGCCCTACGTCTGTGGAAACGCTCTGCTTGTGGAATACGTTAAATGGGTCGGACTTCATTCTTGGCATCGATGCTTGATTTGGGTGTTTGCTGTAGTTGAGTGTTGAGGAAGACGGCAGAGGGGGAGACGGCAGAGGGGGAGACATTGGCGCCACGATCTCCACTCGTTTGTGGTTTTAATTTTGCAAGTACGATTTGAAGAGAAATAAATTAGTGCTACTTGTTTTCTGTTGTAGTTGTATATATATCATGTACATCAACAAACAAGTTTCAGGAATTAAAGTTCGACTGAAAAACCCCATTCAATCAGTCAGTCAAGTTCTGTCGTCTACACGTAGCACCGTAATACATAATTTCTGTCACAGCTTTCAGATACAATATTCCATTAACTCTTGCAAATATCCAAAACTCTATCATCTATTTTGTCTGCCAAAAGACAAGAGCACATTCAGAAAACAAGGACATGACAAGTTGGTGAAACATAGGCGTGAGCTGAAAAGACCACACTTGTGATGTTTCCGGTTTTCATGGTCAAAGTATTAACGTGAACACTACAGGGGCTTGTAACGCTAAAAACTGCCATCAAGGTATATACTGTCACTGACGGGGTCTTAGAACCATATTAAGACCCCGTCAGTGACAGTATATACCTTGATGGCAGTTTTTAGCGTTACAAGCCTCTGTGATGAACACGAGGCAACCGTCTCAGTGTTTGCTTCAACAGTCTTGGTGAGGTCATCAGGTGTTTCTCCTCTACTTCAGGTTACAGCAGCTTCGCCAAGGATGTGGAGGCCATGGTCGGGAGAAAGCCCTACATTTACTTCACCGTGTGCTGGTTGGTTATATCGCCACTGCTCATTCTGGTTGGTTGTTTTCATCTTACCAGGATAGTGAAATTTCTATTGCAACATGGTACATGTTGTTTGTTTTTGTGTGTCTTTTGTTTCCACACTCGGCAACAATCCAGTGATTTACACCATGAGGATAGGATGGCATGCAGCAACTGAGTCAGTGAGCCTGACCATCCGATCTTGTTAGTCGCCTGTTATAAGCATGAGTTTCTGATCAGGGACGTCCCGGGTCCACGATGTATGTTGTGCATGGGGGATTATGTCCAAGATGGGGACATGTACTGATAATACTAGAGATATTTGTCAGAAAGAATTTACTCTGTATTTAAACTAGTTTCTTTATACCAATAATCGATCGCCAAGCTGTCGAATATACTTTTTTTCTATAATTTGTGAGGTTAGATGAAACGCGGTTTTAGACTTGACTTCGGCGATTATATGACTCTGGAATGTGGGTTCGAATCCCGGATGGGACTCAACAGTAAAAAAGTACTATAATATGCACTTTACTGACAAATTATAATCGCAGTGATAACACTTACTAGATTTCTAGAATTTGCTTGTCGTTGTGCTTGTCACTCTTCTAACGGCACCGCCTTATGCTGGGTCTCTCGCAAAATACATTTTTCGCTATCACGACGTACAAACATACGTTTTATGATTGCATTACATTGTCTAAGATATTGTATATTGCTTGCAGGGGGTGATTGTTTTTAAAGGCATCCAGTATGAGCCTCTAACAGCTAAAGGAGAACCAGTATTTGCGGAGGTGATTGGCTGGTTCATTGCCATGTCTCCAGTAGCCATCATTGTCATAGCATTCCTGTGGTATACATGTCCAAGTGGCCTTTGGCAGGTAGGAAATATTGTTTATCTATGGGACAAAGTTCAACAGCTTTTAGGATACCTTCTGGTTTTAATAAGAATTTTGTTTCTTTACAATGCAGATGAAGTGAACTTGACTTGGGTTAATTGACAGTTCTGGCAATATTGATCATACGTAATGAAACCATTTTCTAGAACACAATGTGAGTAGATTACGTCAGCTTTCATAAAAACACCTTTCATCTGAACTGGATGTGGCGAGAGGACCCAAGCCCTTCTTCCTACAACCGGGTTCACGAAGATATTATGTTTTAGTAGCGTGTACCAAATGATGTAAGTAGAATAAGTCGATGTAGATGATGTTTTGAAGGTTCTACGTTAGCTGGCATTGTGTCAACTTCCATATCAAGCATGACATTCTGTATGTATCTACAGAGGCTCCTGGAACTGAACATGCATACAGACGAATGGAGACAGCGACGCAACTTGAGCACCTTCACACACCTTCACGTGCCGACAGCGGGAAGAACTAACCTTGGTTTTACGACTGAATCTGAGCCGGCGAATGGGAGATACAGCATGGATGAAAAACCATCACTATCTAAAGATGGCGGCACTGACTCAAACATCGGTCACCAAGATAGCGGTTATGTCCCTTACTTCGTGGACCCAGACAAATTCCTGGCGGGACATGAGAGACAAAGTACTTACGAGGAAGAGTCAACCAAGTTTTAGACATCATAAGGTTGATGTGATTCTATATTGTCGCTTAACAGTAAACAGTTACATGTGGGCTTGCTATGCAGCTATCAAATGTCATGTAATAGGGTGTCTTTTCAAACAGTTAAACCTTTTTAGTGAAACTTAAATACACAACGTTATACATTACCTCATTATTTTCCTGTAATAATAACAGTGGGGTGTATGATTACATTTCGGAGCTTTGCCCTTATATTCAACAGTAAGTTTGTTATATTCAATCTTTCGTATGACCGAAATGCAAGACAAAACGGCATTTTGTCGCCCAGATACCAGAGATTAAATTAAAGAGGAGCCCAACTCAAGTCTAGAATAATTGAGTACGTCTAGATTGCCTCAGCTCCTGAAATTATGAATTGATCTCGATTTCTTTTGGAAGTTATATATTTTGCTTTGTAGGCATGTATTTTAAAGTAAGACAACGGTATTTCTGGGACTAAATGGCAGTCAAGCTCAAGGTTCATCATCAGATATATTGGGATCAACAATGTACAGCGTCATATACACTACATAAAACTATATTTAGAATGTATACTATAGAATGTAGGTGTTTGTGGTATATTTACACAAAGTACATGGTCATAAAGGGTTCATTTAGAATTGTAGATGTAGATCTGTAAAGCGGATTCTGTCTTAAATTAAACTATAAGTAATAATAACAAAGCTTGTCCCACATTCATAGGAGTTCATTGTACAATTCTGGAGCATGTGTTTATATATCTGGTAATTAATCAAGTTGATGCCTGATTACAAAACATTGATGACTCACGTTCACAAATGGCACACATTACACAGGTAAATGTCTCACGTTCACAAATGGCACACATTACACAGGGAAATGTCTCACGTTCACAAATGGCACACATTACACAGGGAAATGTCTCACGTTCATATATAACACTAACTACACAGGTACAATGTTTCACCTTCACACGTGACACTAATTACACTGGTACAATGTTTCACCTTCACACATGACACTAATTACACTGGTACAATGTTTCACCTTCACACATGACACTAATTACACTGGTACAATGTTTCACCTTCACACATGACACTAATTACACTGGTACAATGTTTCACCTTCACACATGACACTAATTACACTGGTACAATGTTTCACCTTCACACATGACACTAAGTACACTGGTACAATGTTTCACCTTCACACATGACACTAATTACACTGGTAGACTTAAGACTAGAGAATGGCACCAGATTGCGTCTACATTCACATTGACCCCTTATTTCGTTAATACATGGCCTCTCCCTCTCAGTCTATATGTCAGCTTAACCTGATGTACGGGTTGTAATATGGTACACACAATAACAAGGCAATGGTACCTCAATGAATGAACGAAAGAACAGTTCAGGACTTAAGTGATAATAGTATTCAGGGGCAGTGGTGTAGCCTAGTGGTTAAAGCGTTTGCTCGTCACGCCGAAGACCCGGGTTCGATTCCCCACGTGGGTACAATGTGGGAAGCCCATTTCTGGTGTTCCCCGCCGCTATATAACTGGAATATTGCTAAAGCGGCGTAAAACCTCACTCACTGATAATAGCATTCAAAGTGAACATCGGACGTTGGTAATAAATATTTTTCTACACAGTACAAAATAAATATTTCATCCGACAAGGTTTTTTTCGAAACGTCTTTATTGTATGTTTCACTCAATCTTTTCTGTACAATAGTTCGAGTTAATCATCAGCTTGGATGAAAAGATACATTGCTCTTTCTTGATGGTGGCCTTGCAGTTGAACGGTTCTCTCGTCAGAAAACTACCTTGCTGACAGTTCACAATAGATCAAAACCTGATCACATGCATAGCCTCGCGTGATATATTCTCTATGCTTGTGTCGGGGTTTGTTTGGGAGGGACTGGGATATTTTATCATAATTGTTATCCATCAGTTATTGTTGTGCCATCCTTGCAACAGTTGTACTCGAAGGTCACACGTTAATCAGCATTTGGTTGTAACCGTCTCATTGTTCATTGTTTCAATCCATACACAGATTTATTGTACATGTGAGATTCAACATAAGAAAGGTGATAAAAATGTTTTTCAAAGAATATGTGTCGTAGTGACTTCATTCATTCCGTTGCATTACCGAGGTGTAACGGTTGTTGGTATTATGTGATAAGGTGTATCAGCAGTTACTACGCTACAGATTTCAATGCTGACTGCATGTTGACCATGTTAGTTTCCCGAATGGTTATTTTATGGGTGAAAGAGTTATTTACATTTGCGTGTATCCTGCTGGGGTACGAAGTTGAATCTGACTTTGATATGAATTCACATGCTCGATAATAGAAACATTCTGAAACTCGTTTCAACAATTTAAATGACACATACACACTTGTGTCATAATCTCAAAACATGTTCTAAAGAGCTGGACAGTAGAGTTTAATGGGAACATTCAGGTCGATCCCCACCCATGGAGACATCTAACCAGCGTAAACGTTCCATAGATTCCACGATACTGTTGTGCGACCATCTTGGCTTTCTCATCGTGCTAGTTGTGTTATCCAAGGGATACTGGATAATATTATTTGTTTGAAAACAAGTATTAAATTGGTTTCCGAATGTGGCAGATTTATACACCATAACATTTCCTGTTTTATATTTTCGTGATATGTATTTCTACGAAAGAGTAGGCCACTCGGGGTCCCCCCAAACGATGATCTGTGCATGCGGCATGTGTGAAACTGATTCCTTACTGCATCATCCTTAACGGGAAGGAGATGTCGTAACAGCGGAAACAAACCAATGACGTTTTACAGAAATTCATGCCAGCAGTCCCAATTGGAAAAATGTCTTTGGCACGTAGCTATTGGTGTAATATACTTCAGTGATCTCGAACTGACGTTGGCAGCAAGGGCCAAGCATACAACGGAAGCAGTTTCAAACTTTTCAGTCCTCAGGGTCGGATGCGAGTATATTGACGGAGAGATGAACCCTTGCTTGTCAGATGCATCCATGAAGTTCACGCTTTTGGAAGCTGTTGTGTGGTCATGGGGACTAGTGGTAATAGGAAAGGTGACATGTCATCCGGGTAACGCCTGAACACCCAAAGTTACAGGGATGTCATCCTGCCACCAGCTGTCCTTCCCTCAGTCAGAACATTGCCACAAGAGACACTCTTATAGTAGAAAATTGCCTTTTTGTAACATAAATAATTGTGACTAACGATTTTAATTCTAGTTAATGTAGAGTTGGGGGGTTTAAACTGTAGTTGATATTACTTCTGTAGGTCATATAACTGGTTTCTTCATTTTGTCATGGTGTTTTAGGGGAAATGTATGAATACTCCAAAATCTATCACTGGATGGTTGACAGTTATCGTCAAACAAATGTCAGATGTTAAAACCTTCTAAATTCTTTTAAATCATGCCCAGATTATACTCGAAATTGATCCGTTTCTTCTTACTCCCTAGTAAGAAATGCAACCCACTAACCGTAGACATTCTTATCCCTAATGACGGACGAGTGCCAGACCCTGAGGTATTTCAGACCGAATACCGAGTGTTCTGATAAATCTTAAACCTAGAAGTCATTTAAAACATAAAACTTTATGTATTATAACTCTGGTTAATTACTTTGAGGAAGGTTTGATGTGGTGGTGGTGGAATTGGGTTTAACGTCCTGCTTGAGAAGTTATCAAGCTTGTTCGATAACATTCTGAATCCTAACGAGAAAGTTCGTCTAACTTCGTACACATACGATTGTATTCCCCTTTCTGGTGCAAGTAGGGCTTTGGGGATTGGTCTTGTACCTATATTTGCGAAGCTTCTCTCATTTCCAGACACCTAAGACGTTATACTTGCAGAGCATTTCACATCCTTCCAGAAATAGTCGCATAAGACCTGGGTGTCATTCGTGGATATTTGTTCTTGAAATGCCAAGCTTAAGTACATGGCAAGTACTCCTGAACAACTCTTACTTGTGATACAGTATCACAATCCCGTTGATAGGTCAGTGTGTTCCAGCACTAAGCAGATTAGCCGATCAGAGGTTTTTATCTAAAAGAAATTGACATTATCTAAAGCAATGTCGATTTCAAGACATTGCTGGCATCAGCATAACGCCATACAACATGCCACACTATGCATCACGTTTTACTGGTGTTAAATCATCCGTTACACTTACAAATGGCAAGTGTGAAGTAAGAAGCACGTTATACAGTTCGGCTCTCTCTAGATTTAAATATTCCCATATTCCATAAAACGCATAAAGCTTAGTAGATTGAAAGTGCATTTCAAAGAGTGCATTTCACCATTGTTATACACATCTACCACCTGGCTGCACAGCGTAACGTATTACCAGCTGATGAAGGGTCACGCAAACAAATGGGACTCCTGGTACATTAGAGCTACACATGGGCAGTTACTCTAGCAAGCTAGAACTATATGTATTCAGGCTACCATTATTATCCCCCGCCAAGAAGTGAGGGGGATATGGGTTTGAGCTTAGTCCGTCCGTCCGTCCGAGATGAAGGGGCCAGATTTTCTCAGAAACCGTTATAAATAGGGAAAACATATTTGATATGTGTTTCAGAACATAAATGCCTTCATGGAGATCGAAAACGGAAACTGTGTTACGATTCTTTAGTTATGGCCCTTGCCGTGCGTTTCTTGACTTTGTGCACGTTATCTCCAATGGAAACAGATGTTCTCAGTAACTGTTATAGATAGGGGAACCGACTGTGGTACATGAGCTTTCAGGACATGGATGTCGTGGAGGAGTTAAACAACAGGAACCGCGCACATTGGGCGTGGGATATTGATGACCATGTCTTCTTGTGTTTGCTTACTTGTAGTTATGCAATGTCTACAAATTGGTTTCAGCTAATTACAATGTGTACTCCTAAATCGGGATATTAACTATCCCAAAACACGCTCGCTTGAAACACTCTATATCTACTTGCGTTGCGACTTTTAATTTACAATATCTCAGCTTACATCAAGAGTCACGACACCTATCTTACATATGCACAAAATATATTTACTTGAGTCTCGACATGTTATTTACAATATCCCCACTGGCATCAAGAGTCACGGCACACATCTTACACATACGCGATATATTTACTTGTGTCACACCATGTTATTTACTATATCTCTACTGGCATCGAGAGTCACGGGACATATCTTTGATGAGAGTGGTTTCCCTTAGATTGTGCTCCATACTGACAGACGGACACCTTGAATGTCATTTCACTGAATTTCTCTCGGTTCCTGTCACGTAAATCATTTCCGATACTCAAGTTAAAAAGTCTGTTAAATGTCTTAAACGTCAGCAGTGTTGAATTATTCTCACCCTTGACACTGTTGAAACAAATAATTACTTTACTTTACGTCGTCCATGAAATATCTCCACGTTTCATCAGAAGATATTTAACTAAATCAATACTTCCGTTATCAATAAACACAGGCAAAAATTCTATCTTCTTATTTCTGAAATCTGGAATCAGTTAATTTTGTTCAATTTGTCTTTAAAATTTTTTGAAATTTGGGAACGATAATCAATGGAGACTGGGGGTGCTGATGTGCAGGTTACATACAATTTGAGCACCCTTTTCAGTCACAAACTGTTTTCTGTTTAAAAACGAACGTTTCTATCCATTTAATGTATTGATTACATAATTTTGACATAAGCAGATGAGGCTGTATGGTGTTAAAAACTGGGGAGAAATTATGAATCGTACAATTTTATTGGATGTTTCAAGATGTTGGGCGATCGAGTCCCAGACAATCCAGTGATCAGCGCCATGACCATTGATTTCGGGATACGATGACATGTGTCAGCCAAATCAGCAAGCCTGACCACCCAATCCCGTCACTTGCCTCAACGACAAGGATGGGTTGCTGAAGACAATTCTAACTCAAATCTTCACGGGTGTTTGTGGATATTGTTCAGCTGTCTAACAGTGACATCCTCTACTCCTCCCCGGGCACAGTAGGCAGACCAGAGTGGTGTTTTAGAACAGGGATAACGCTAGATGTCCTTCTGAGTAGAGGAATAACGATAGTATCGATAGACATTTGAAATATTCTTTGAAAAATATAACAGAGTTGATCACAAATTTCCTTCAACACCATACCGCATAGATTATCGGGACCAGTAGCTTTACGCCCATTAATGTTAGAAACTTTTTTGTAACATATCACTTGCGTATTTTTTGTGCAAAGATGTGAATTATAAAAATGTTTTAACATTTGGAGAATTAATGTTTCAATCAGTTGTATTGATTTACATCTGTCTAAAACCACACACGTGCTCTACTGGCAGTCGTACAGTTTATCTTCCATAGTGGGCTGTTATCTTTATGCTGTCTTTGTTTGTATTACAAAAAACATTTTCTTTCTGTTAATGCACATACGAAAACAAAAACGTGACTATCTACTTTATCTCAAACTTCTAATTTCATTAAATGTAGAAGTGCACGAGATATTTTACATATTCTCCATAGGAATCGTTTTGTCTCAGGTCAGACATTAAATACACGACGTTATAAAATAACTTTCCGCCAAGTTGAGGACGTGACAGACAGAGAGAGTGAATTATGATATTGTGGCGTCCAACTACTAATTAAAATATAATGTTTGGGCGACAAAGATATCGTTACCAAAACATAGTAAAGATATTTGACGTTAGAAGCAGTAAAATACCTGCAGCGAAAAGATGACGTGTATGCGAATACTTTTAACATCTACAATCAAAATGATTTAAAGCTTAAATATACATTTTCGTTTTCTGCTCCATGTCAAAGTATCTATAATCCTACATGTAATGTTATCGTGTTCGTGTTTGTAAGACAGCTTGAATACTCAGAAATGTTAATCGAAGGAAATTCGTCAACAATTTTTTTTCTGTTTATGTCAACAGAAATTGTAAATTGTTAACAGAAATAGAAAATATCGAGGAGCTCGGTGAAATATTATACTGTGTGTCACATTGACATTACCAGCATTGATACACAAACGGTGGAGAGGATATGTTCATACCAACCCACACACGTGTTTCAGCTTATACAGAGTTGCCATCAAGGTCCCTGCAGCCAGTCATCTTT